GTTACAGTCTCAAAATCTCCAGCCATCTTTTACCAAGCGACTACCAGAGCTTGGAACTTCAGAGCAAGTTCTGCAAATCCAGCTAATAGTTAAGCAGAGACAGAGACATAACTAATATGTATGTCATCTATGTTGAGAAAACTAGATATTGTGTATAGAGAGTTTTGAAAATATTGATAACTAGATGATAACCCGCGCCATGCGCGGAGTGAGCTTTTTAAAAATATGTTGTATTGAAATATATATTTTGCTATTAATATGGACATTTGGGTATTATTTGTTTCGGTTAGATTATGTTTGGTTTAGATCATATTATTGGTTTGAATTTTTACAGGTTCAGATTGGGTTTAAGTTCGCATAACCCATTTAATTTTTATAAAAAAGATTAAAATTCATATATACTTTAAGTTTTTCAAAACCTAAAAGTAGAAATAATATATAACATAAATTTGAAAAATGAATGACAAAATACTTAAAATTAACATAAAATTGATTTATCTTAAATATTTGGACAAAAATCAATAAATATTTCAAATATTTTTGGTATTTAGAGGTTGATTGGCTATTTTAAAAATTTGCATCTAACTATTTTACATATTTCTAAGTATTTTAGAATTTTTTAAAACATCTCATGTGTTTTGTATATTCTTAGATGTTAAATTTACAAATAATTAATATATTTAAGAATATAAATCTGGTTCGAGTACACTCGGATACCCGAAATTTTTCGATTCAGTTTTGATTATCTAGATACCAAAATTTCGAATTCGCTTGGATATCTAACCAGTTTTGCTTAAAAATTTGTATTCATTTTTGGGTTAGATTTGGTTCGGTTATTTGGATTTAGTTTTTTTTTGTCCAACCATATATTTTTTCTATTATACCAAAAATTAAAACGAAATGGATGATGGTTCATATTGATTTTGGGTATGCAAAAATTTTAAACAAAACACACTCTATTATGGGTGATCCATTTAGTTAATCATTATGAACTATTTAAGACCCATTAGAAAAACGATTGGCTGAACTAAAATCGTTACCATTGATCACAAAATTTCAGTGTGAGATTTTTACCNCGAAATGGATGATGGTTCATATTGATTTTGGGTATGCAAAAATTTTAAACAAAACACACTCTATTATGGGTGATCCATTTAGTTAATCATTATGAACTATTTAAGACCCATTAGAAAAACGATTGGCTGAACTAAAATCGTTACCATTGATCACAAAATTTCAGTGTGAGATTTTTACCATCTTAAGTAATTTATGGTCATTTTAAAAAATTTAAAATATAACGTATAAGAACATATATAAATTTTTTTATTATATAATTAATGTGATTTTTTAATTTCTTTTAATAATATAAATTAAATAAAACATAAAGAGTATAAAAAATTGTTATCAAATATTTATTATTCATAAACATTAATTGTGATATATATGTTAATCACATTAGGTAATTCCGTAGCTTTTATTTAAGGAAAGAATAAAAAATCTTCTTTTGTACACTACTAATTAAATATGATAGTTGGTATAATAAAAATAAACGAATGTTTAGTTGGACCAACATATTTCTCTAAGAGTTATGAAAATCATTCTCATTGTGACACGTGGCTACAAAAAAATGTTGTAATGCTCCAACATATAGGATATTTAACTTATTAATCAAAAATATTATAATTGAAATTTTAAATGCTTTATTAATTTATAGTCGTTTGTAAAAAATTTAAATATAACATATGTAAAAATCTAATTTTTTGTTATATAGTTAAAATTATTGTTTAATTTATTTTTTATAATTAAATTTAACAAAAATAGTAAATGCTATAATTTTTTTTATCAAATCTTCATATTCAAATCATTAATTGTCATATATATATTGTAACCATATTAGGTAATTCCGTAAATTTTATTTAAGGAAATAATGTATAGCATTAATAATAGTTTTATGTTTAGGCTAATAAAAAGTATATTATATGTTTATATGGACCAACATTTTTCTCTAGTAAATTTGAGAAGCATTCTCATGCTGACACGTGGCTACCAAAGAATGTTGTAATGCTTCTCAAATAATATATAGGGGATATTGATTATCAAACTCCCATCTAGCTGACACATTAAAAATATTGATTACATTTGCAACAAATCTTATTATTACAAGCATGTGTGAAAATCTATTTCCTATAGAAAGATTTTTATATAGAGATTTATGTAGTTTACGCCTACTTCAAAGAATTATTGGCTCTCACAACAATCATGTATCCATTGATACACATATACTCCGTTACATACCATCGTTTATATAATTTTATAATTCAAAGATAAATGATAATCAGTTGACACAAGAACTTGGAAACTTCTCTGTAGACACTCAAGCTCACAAGAGCTCAACATTCATTGCATTCCCTCTGAAAATAGCAATGAATAAATTGAGTGTTACACCTTCTGTTCAACAGAACATTTTCAGACCGCAACAAGAGCATAATTATCATTGCATTCCTTTTGAAAATAGCAATCATATAGCTTCATGTTCTCTAATGACACACCAACTGTAGACTGTCATATTCCCAAGAACTAATAGCTAACAACCTGAGATAATACCTGCAGCAAGAAACCCATCCAAAACTCAAAAGCCACTGAAATTTTCATAATTGTTTCTGCCTTGACCAAAACCAGAAACATTGCTCCTTAACCTCTGCAACTCCCTTAAACTGACCCAAGAATGTCCTTACTGATACTCAAACAGCCATATAAAACACTCATCAAATCCAAGGAGACGTCCCTGAACTTTGTGAGCTTCTGGGCTGGAAATAAGATAGCTAAAACACCACTTGCAGCTGACTTCTACAAACTGATTCAACAAAAGAATACCCTGAACACCATCCAGAATCTTGGTCAATCCCATGCATAACCAGTACAAATATCCCTGTGTTCCAAAAAGCTTCCAATCCCAATAGATATGCAGAACTTGAGCAAACTTGAAACTTCAATTCAGAGCATCACAACACCTTGTGACTGCAGCGGAATCAGACAATAAGTCTCTCAAAAAATGAGTCTTGAAGTTGATGTCTCGGTTTTGATATAAACCATTGAGTCACAGAACATGTACTCATCATTTCATAACCCCAAAACCAGCTGATATCTCTGAAGTAGCTTCAGCTTACACCATTCTTCAATTGGTTTCTTCAGCATTGATAAAGAACCTCCTTTTTGTATCATGTGCTTCTTGCTTCTATATCTGATAATTTTTTTTTACTTCTTGCAACACTTCAGCTTGTGAGTATACTGTCATCCTTCTCAAAGTGTCGCAGGTTCTTGTATCTTAGAGATCTCTTAATTTCATATCCCCTGAAATCACCTCAACTGATTCACACTTTCACCATGAATCACTCCTTAAGATACAACTTGTTCACATCCCATCTTCACACTTATAACCTGACTAAACTGGATTTATAACCACTTAAGCTTCTCAAGAACCCTGTTACTCCACCTAAGAAATAGCCTCTTCCTAGAACTGTCACCTTTTCTGAAACATAAAACCTGTAGCTTCAACAGAAAACCTGCAGCGTCAACAGAAAAAAATCTGCAACTTCTTTGGTTCTTCTTGTCCTTGGAGATGTGTGAATGAGATGCTTCCATATTAACCAGAATGAGTCTTATAACTGCTTCCTCTCACGTGCTGTTCCCCAAGAGATATCTTGGCTTTCAGCCTGAGACATTCAAGTCTCATACCTTCCTCAAAACCTGAGAAATAACAATGACGCTTCACCAAGAAAGAGTCTTATGGCTTCTTCCTTCAGTATCATTTACTAAGAGCTACTCTTTGTTGTTCATCCTGAGACATCACTTGTCTCTACAAAACCAGCTCTCCAAAGAAAAAAGACGTGGCTTCTTAGCAGGAAAGGAGCTATGCTGCTCCAGCTTTCCAAAGATCCAACCTTTCTCACTTTTTTTCACTCTTCTCCGTCTTCTAGATCTTCTCTTCTTTCTTTCTTTCTTCTGGATCTGAGAGTTGCTCTCTTGAAATATCAATAACCTCCAAAGCTTCACTCATGCCTAGAATCTCCTCATAAACCACGAGTTTCTCCTTTCAAAAAACACAGCTTCCGTAACCTTCAAAGCTTCCACTTCTCTTCTTGACAAAACATGATTCTTGGCTTCAGAGAACCATAAACACAGAACCTAGGGATCTGATACCACCAATTTGTTAGGATTCAGAGGCTCAAATACATGACTTTGTCTCAGCATAAACCCACAAACCAAGAGAGAAGTTGTTTGAAGTTCCTTAGACAAAACACTGCAAAAAAACAGAGTTGTATAGAGTGTAGAGAGTTTGGAGAAGAGATTAGAGAGAAGGAGAAGATGGGACCACACACACAATTTAAGGGTGGATCATTTTTCATTTGTTTCTTCAACTGCTTGTCTTCTGTTAACAACTCTATCGAATAGAAAGTTTATTTATTCTCCTATCCTACCCTATACTTGGCGATGTTGATTCTAGCTCTGTTAACATTACTCTGACGCAATGCTACTTAGATTATTTTGAAAAATTCAAGATCTTGCTCGTCGTTGATATGTCCATAAAATCACTTGTAGATGAAAGGGGAAGTAACATACCAGATGGACCCTGACTTTTGTTACAGTCTCAAAATCTCCAGCCATCTTTTACCAAGCGACTACCAGAGATTGGAACTTGAGAGCAAGTTCTGCAACTCCAGCTAACAGTTAAGCAGAGACATATACATAACTACTATGTATGTCATCTATGTTGAGAAAACTGGATATTGTGTATAGAGAGTTTTGAGTCGATCTGTTGTGAGAAGTGTCTTAATAGAAAGATCTTTTTGAGAACAACGTTGTAAAAGATAAAAGGTGTTGCACTTTGTACTCGAAGTTGAGATGAGAAAACAGAAACTGCTGAGATGAAAAATTAATATTTGTATTCAAGGAAAGATTTACGATATCTAATATATATATACATAGTTGCTTGCTGCTTTTTAATGTAAAAAAGATGGATGAATGTGTGTCTGTGGCTGTACAAAGTAGCCAGTCAAATGTGGTGGGTGGTAAGGATGGAACACAATCGGTCTTGATGGTGGATGATGTGGTACCACCGGTAAATAACCGCATCTTCTCATTACAAGCTCATGTGGCTGCTGTACCCTAACAAAACCACGTCTCTCCATCACAAAAGCTTCTTCAGCTTGGTGCATAATATGCCTAGCACGTTTCATACGCTCTTCATTCTGTTGCTCCTCCTCACGCTCTCTCTTCTGTTCCTTTGATATGGTGAATATCAAGTCAGTAAACACTCGGGCAGTGAGTTCGCTGTCTGAACCCGCGTGGTGTGCATCACCGACACGTTTGATGTGAAGATCGTCTGCTATTCTCTGCAAACCGTACCGGGCAGACACACCTCTGCAATCAACCGCAATCTTCTTGACATCAAGACTAAGCCCTAGGGTTTCCTCAACGGTTTTGTTAAAAGCTTCTAGAGTCTCGGGCAGTGATTTTCTTCCGGTCAGACCTTGAACAAGATACGCTAAGTCGTATGAACCATCGAAAGAAACCCACTTTAACTTCTTGTCCTCGTCGTCGTCTTTGAGAATCTGACCAAACTCTTTGAAAAACTCTTGGATTCCCACTCCCTCGTCTCTGATTTTCTTGAAATTAAGACCGTTGCGTCTAAGAAACTCTATCGACTTCTCGTTACAAGCGTCGCTTCTCTCGTCAAAATCCTTGAAATTAACTTCCCACGTACCTCCGATACTTCCGTCGCGTTCGAACAGAGTGAAACCTAGTTGAATAAGTTTTGTCCTTTCGACATTGAATTTCAAATTCTCGTATCGAGTCTCCTCGGTAGCGCCCTTAGGAGTCACCTTCACACAACCTGGGAACTCTGTGTCTATAGCGATGAAATCACAAGTTTTTACAACTTTCCTTATCAGCTTCATCTCTTCTTTCGAATTAGCTAAGAAGATTTCTCTCATTCTGTTGTTTCAGTTTTATGTAACAAAACCAATTGTATCAGGTCGATGATTATTATTTATAGAGTTAACCTCTCACTAAGATTTTCCTTTTCTGTGCATATTTTCTTAAATAAAATAAAAAATAAAAAAGGACAGATTGACCGTTTGACCTAATTTCCTTTTTTTCATTAACCAAGTGTTTTTTTCCAAACAAATAAGGATATTTAAATAATTATACTTGTCCGAACAAATTATTTTGTAATTAGGCCCAATAGATTGAACCGAATCTATACTGGTTTACAATTATTAATTTTGGTTATCAACAAAAACAATATCAGATAATATTTGGATTGGGTATTTTCCATATCAGATAATTTGGCTATGGAAAGATTAATACCAATCAGGTAATTATGAATCTCGTATCGGGTTCAATTCTATATTTGCCTGATCCAAATATTATTTGCTACATTCTAATGAACTAAAGAAAATTTGGTTTCAGTTCAAATTAATTTGTAAAAACTAATCGGAAATATCTCATTCAAATCTGTTTTTTTCTATCTAAACATGTACAAGAATATTCAAAATGATCAAAATTAACTAAATATAGAAAACAATTCAAAATATCTCAACTATCCAAAAATAACTAATATATTTCCATTTTAAAATTATAATTTTTAATATTTGAATCATTATAAATATTGATATAACTAATATTTCTCTCTCTCTCTCACTTTCTATATATATATATATATAGGTTTAATTTTCAATTCTTTGGATATAGAAAATTATGTAGCGTTTGAATATTTATGTTGGATTGGCTCAGGTGCGAATAATTTGTCGAGACCTAGATGAAACCTAACAAGAGATAAAATTAGGATTAAAAAAATATAAAAAAAATTTCTTATATCGGATATAATATCTTACTAGGTTTTTTAATTGCACATGCGGACATAATTTTCCTACAGATGATTATTAATTTATGTTTTGTTAATATAAAAACTAGTATCTATATTACTAAAGCAGAATCCTATTTTGACAATTTTAGATTCTGCTTTTGCATTTTAATTTAATTACAATAACATACCACTCATTTATTTATGCATAGTAAATTAAATTAACATTGTCTAAAACATTCTAACTTACTAAAGGAATATTCCTATATAAAATTTAACTGAATTATTCATTAGTCATAAAATCTTCCAGCAACATATTTATTCATTAATTAAACGAATGGGTAACAATTCACACAAACAATAAAGATATCACGTATACATATTAAAAATAATATATTATTATCAATAGAAAAAGAAATCCTATGTTCGTTTACTTAAACAAAACATTTTTTATTGGTATATAATCATTACTTATGTTATGACTAATAACATCATTAAGCCAAATTTAAATCTACGCAAATCATAGTCACTTTATCTTATTAAAGTAGGCTTTTAAAATTGAAACAAATATTTTACGGAATAAGTTTTCATTGTTCATGACTAATAATTAGTTATAGTTACAATATATATACATAGATGTTATATATTATTTTATTGGAATTATATTTCATTTTATTCAAATAGCTGAATTATTTGAACCTGGAGAAATATCTACTACTTTGAATACTTCTATATTCATTCAGATTATATTTTAATTGTTATAAAATAAATAAAAGATCCTCCTGCATATTAATTCTAAGATTACATTTCAACAAAAATATTTAAATATTTTTGTTTTAATATATATATATATATATATATATATATATATATTCTTTTTCTTATTAAAATTAAGTATATTTATGATTTTAAAAAGTACAAGACTCACTGAAACAATCTTTAACATAATTTTCAATGTAATTTTTTTTTAAATTTGATTGAGACGAGAGTGTAAAAACCATGAATTATCTTATTTGAATTTAAATTATTAAAATAAAATTAATGTAAATTTTTTAAAGTTGATTGAGACAGGGAAAGTACCCTCTGCAAAAGGGAAGTTCTCCAAAACACTTTTCCTTTCCTCAACAGACACACCGGCCATATAGATGGTTGACTTCTCTATACTTATGGCAAGCCCCGACCATTGAGCAAAATCTCCGAACACATTTAGAGCACCCACAATTGACTCTTTTGATCCCTCTACAAAAACCATCAGATCATCTGCAAAGCACAGATGAGTGAGAGATAGCGACTTACACCGTGGATGAAGCTTGAACTTCTTCTCAGTCACAGCTCTATCAATCTTATGAGAAAGCACATTCATACAAAGGAAAAAGAGGTATGGAGAAAGAGAACATCCCTGCCTTAATCCTCGTTTACTCTGGAAATATCCTGCAAGTTCACCATTCACTTGGACCGAAAACGAAGAAGTGGTGATACATAATTTTATCCAATGAATAAATCTGTTAGGAACGCCCACTGCTTCCAGACTATTAAGAACAAAAACCCACTGGACAGAGTCAAATGCTTTCGAGATATCAATCTTCATCACACAATGCGGAGATACATCCTCTTTATGGTAATCCTTGACCAACTCTGATGCTAAAAGAACATTCTCCATTAACAGTCTCCCTTTAACAAAAGCATATTGATTTTTAGACACCATCCGAGGAAGGATCTGCTTTAGTCTGTTGGCAATAATCTTTGAAACCACCTTATAGATCACATTGCAACAAGCAATAGGCCGAAAGTCTCTCATCTCCAAAGAGTCAGATTTTTTAGGTATGAGCGCTAAGATAGTAGAGTTTACCCCTTTAGGAAGGAAGCCATACCTAAACACTGATTGAACTGCAACTGAGAAGTCATGCCCAAGAATCAACCAAGTAGTCTTGAAAAATTCACAAGGATAACCGTCTGGCCCAGGAGACTTGTTCGTTGGCATTGAGAAAATTACTATACGGATCTCTTCCTCTGTCACCTCCGCCTCCAAAAGCTTACAGTCCTCCTCTGTACAACTAAACTGAAGTAAGTCTTTCAACTCATCAACGGTGGCCCCCGTGTAATTTTCAGGAGTTTGATTAAGGAACTCTGAGAAGAAAGAAACAGCTTCCTCTTTAATATCATTCTGCTGCGTAGCAAGGTTCCCATTACCACAACGAATCTCATGAATATAATTTTTTTCTTGACGGGTGATAATAGCATTATGATACGTCTTATTATTCCGGTCCCCAACCTCCAACCAGTGAAGTTTCGATCTCTGTTTAAGGAAGTCTTCCTCTAAACTTGCAATGTGGAGCCATTTCTCATAAGCAACAGCCTCTTCTTTGATAGCACCTTCACTTGGATTTAATAGATTCAATCTTTGCTTCTCACAAAGAATCTCATGAGTTTCTTTTGCCTTTCTCGAGAGATTTCCCAGTTTGTTTCTACCCAATTCTCGAATCAGAGGCTTTAGATTCTTCAGTTTCTTTGAAAATCTGAACATGGCAGAAGTCGAAGGAAACAATCTCTGAGTGCTATCCCAATAACTCTTTACCATAGGAATAAAGTCTTCCAACTTCCCAATAGCATTTATGTACTTGAAAGGTCTTTGAATCTTTTCCTTTGGAGTAAAAACCTGAACCTTGCATCTCATATGATCAGAACAACCACCCGCTTCAAATACAGAGTAAGCTCTCGGAAACTTATGCAGCACAACATCATTCATGAGCACTCTATCCAATTTCTTGCAGATAAGACCCTCTTCTCTTTTATTACACCACGTATACATATGACCTTGATAACCCATATTAGTCAGGTTACACTGAAAGACCATCCTCTGAAAATCTCTCATGCCACCTGGGACTCTACCAGAATCTAAAAAACTCTTACTTTCCTCCCCTTCAAGAATCTCATTAAAATCACCCACCATTATCCACGGCTTGCTACGAAACATAGGAGAATCATGGTGTTGACATAAATCACCCCAAAGAACTTTTCTTCCTTCAACCAAATTATTAGCATAAACCCCCGTATAGAAAAACTCCTCCTCACCAATCAGACCCACAGAAACCGTGATAAACTGATCTGTCTTGCAAACTGGTGTTATCAGAACCTCGTCCCTCCAAACTAACCAAATTTTTCCTCCATTACTATACTCATAGTTGGTGACATAAGACCAACCTCTGAATACTTTATTTAAAATTCTCATCGCCTTATCCTCCTTAACTCTTGTTTCCAAAATAAAACCAAAACTCATATTTTTACTCCTTACCCACTCTTCTACCACGGAATGCTTCACATTTTTGTTAAATCCTCGAACATTCCAGAAGAAACTAGTCATAGATTATTTGCGACGAGAAGGCCTAGTGCTCTTTCCAGGATTTTTGGCTCTTTCTGGAGCCCTTGGCTTTCTACCTCTTCTACCACCTTCTTTAACCTCCTCGTGAATTCACTTCAGTACTCTGTTTCTCATCATCCAGACATTCACCATCTTCCACTTCATTTATACTCAGAATTGAATATTTAGATTGTGAAATCTCAACATCATCCTTCTGAGGTGAAATAAATAAAGATCTTCATGTTTTTGCAGGCGAAACCCAAACATTTACCTCTATCTTCTCTTTTTCTTTGCTAGACTTTTCCTCACTTCCTTTCTCCTTGCACGAAACCTCTGTCTCAATAGCCTTCCCATTTGACTTCATTTCAGAGCTTTCTATACCAGTTTCAATCACCTTTTTTATACTAGCATCCTTCACCACAAAAGCTTCTTTGCTATGGGTTGGAGTTTGATTTTCATTCATTTGTTTCTTACTCTTTCCTTTCATGCGACAAACATCTTCCTTATGAACCCATTTATCACATAGTTTACATCTTTCTGGCTAGAAGTATTTAACAGTGAAACTCTTTTCTCCTTTTGAAAAAGTGATTTCCTTCAACAAAACCTTAGAAACATCCACTTTTACAAATATTTTTGCCTCCTTTAGATTCGTGCAAGCAATAGTTTCCGGATGGAGCTTCTTAGGAAATCTCACCGTGTTCGTGATGAAACTAAGCCCCTCCCATGAATACATATGTAACGGAACATTCTCCAAATGTACCCACATTGGAACAGCTTCATCCTCTTGAATCTCCTCCTCCGACTTCGGTGACCATTTTGAAACAATCATAGGAACACAAAGGATGTTCCACATACCGCGACGAAGTATCTTCTCTTTAGCCCTATGACTTGAGACCTTAAATCTCATCATTATCGGATTCATTTCATAGACATCCACCTTCATAGAGGTATCCCCATACTTCCATATCCCGTTGAGCACCGTATAGACCTTTGCTACATGAGGAGCCAGATCTAGAAATTTTCCTACCACGAAATCATCCCACAACGGTGTAGAGTTTTCAACGACTTCATCTGGTATCTCCACCATCTGAACGCCCTCCTTGTTTGAGACTTCAACATCATATTTCTTCAACTGTTTCTTATCCTTCGCCGCCTGAACCCAACTTTGATCCATCTTCTTCAACCCAATTTCTCGATCTGCATCTCCTTGTTTCTGAACCACCTCCTTGTGACATTGAATCTCCCCCGGAGAATCAATAGAATCTGGCGAAGAGGCCAGATTCATCTCTCGAAACTCTATCAATTGTCGCTCTCAAAATCGCAAAATCGCCTTTTCAATATGGTGCGTTTTAAGAAACTATGAAAATATTTTGAAATCATATATCATCGGATTCTAATTTCATAAAGAGAAATTGTCAAAACTAACATTTTCGTAGTATCCTTTTGTATCTTTACCTTAACCACATTATCCTTGAAATTAAAGAGATAAATAGACATTTATAATAGTATGATTAACTAATTTAGATTTAAGGTTTAGATTTGATGGGTGAGATTTTGGAGAATATGATTTATAATTTTAAAAAAATTATAAATAAATATTTAAAATTAATATAAAAAATTAAAAATAGTTTCAAAAAGAATTTATGAATTTCAAAATGAAAATTTGAAAAATACAAAAAAATTATTAAAATTTCGAATTTTAAAAAGTAAAATTCGAAAACTTTTTTTTTTTTTAAATAATTTAATTTCTAATTTATTTAAATAATTAGTTATATTTATAAATCAAGGGCATACATGTCTTTTGTCTTCTTAATAGAATTTCATGTTTAAGTATTTTTGAAAATGTCTATTTAAAGAAGGTAAACATGAATATTGGTATCAAATGGAAACTAAAAGTGAAAATTTCCCTTTCATAAATACCAGAGTTCTGTGATGAAATGACTAAACTAATCCGGAAAATTTGAATTCTAGCAGAATAATACCACTTTTCAAATTTACCATTAATGAATAACTATTTTCATAAATATCTTATGTTTGTGATAAAATAACACTAAACATTTTTTTAAAATATTTATAGAACATTTATAAATCCTAAAAAATAATCACTAAAGTCTAAACCCTAATGTTAGTATTTTTTTTGATTGGTAGTATTTTTGAAAAATAGTACTTTAACTTGTGGTATTTCTAACTATTTCTCAACTAATCCTCTTAAATTATTTATAAATTTTTAATAATCATTTATAAAAATTTATAAACCCAACCCATCCTTTACATACTAAAATCTAAACCAAATGTTATGATTTTATGACTGAATTTTGTTTTTTAAAAAAAATATAAAATTAATGGTGTTTTAGGTAATTTCTTTCATTTAAAAAAAATATATATATAGACAATCTTATTCAAATTACAAAATACGCCGTTTCATTGATTTAGTGGGCGGTTCATTTTCGGTAAATTAAAGGTAAATTTGCAAAACTAAATTATTTGAGGGGTCTTTGCAGAAACCCCAAAAAAAATCAAGAAACTAAATTCCCATTTCCAAGTACTAATCTTTCATCTCAACTCTCCTCTCAATCTCTCCGGCGAACGACGACAATGGCGTCAGCTTCCAAGAACCCTTTCTCCATGAAACCCCCTCGACCTCCTTCTTCCGCCACCGCCTCCACCCCCGCCGTGGCCTCCACCTCAGCAGAACCCCAAATTCGAATCCCAAACCCTAACCCAACCTCAAACGCCGCACCATCCACATCAAATCCACCGATCTCAATCTCACCGGAGGACCAAACCCTCTCGCGCTCCACTCACCTCACGCGCCCGGAGCTTCTCCGCCGCCGATCGCACAACCTCAAGCAGCTCGCAAAATGCTACAGAGACCATTACTGGGCCTTAATGGAGGATCTCAAGGCCCAACACAGAGAGTATTACTGGAGATACGGCGTTAGTCCTTTTAAAGAGGAACAGAGTAAGAGACGGAGGATTGGTGGTGACGGAGAAACTAACGACGTTGTTGAAGGTAGTGGAGATAACGGTGCTAACAATGACGGCGTTAAGGTTGAACAGTATGCGAATAGCAGTTGTGAGAGCTGTATGTATGGGTGTAAAGGCAAAGCTATGCCTCTCACTAAGTATTGTCAGCTTCATATTCTTAAGGATAGTAAGCAGAAGCTCTACACTGGTTGCACAAACGTTATCAAAAGGTTTTGCTTCTTTTTTTTTTTCTTGTTTTGCGTTTTAATGTGTTGTTACAGTATTATAGTTGGGTTTAAGATGTTATTGTAAGAATGATGCTAGCTTGCAGTTTTTGTCTTGTTAATGATAAACCAAGAAACTGTTTCAAATGGTAGAATTGTCATAAAAAGGTTCGTTTTTTTTTGGCGTTTGAAAATAATAGGTGCTGCAAATTGTATTATAGTTGGGTTAGGATGTTGTAATGATGATGATGAATTGAAACTAGCTGCAGTTTTTGTCTTGTTAATGAACCGATAAACTGTTTCAAATGGTAGAATTGTTATTAAAAGGTTTGTTTTTTTTGGCGTTTGAAAATAATGTATGCTGCATATTGTGTTAATTACATATTGGGTTAGGATGTTGTAATGATGATGATGATGAAACGGAACTAGCTTGCAGTTTTTGTCTTGTAATGAACCAGTTTAGTGAACTGTTTCAAAAAGGGATTGGTAGAATTGTTACAAAGGTCTTCTTTACTTTGCGTTTGAAAACAATAGGTGCTGCAAAATTATGTATTATACTTGGGTTTAGATGTTGTAATGATAATGATGAATTGAGACTAACGTGCAGTTTTTTGTCTTGTAATTAACCAAGAAACTTTTTTTGCTTTCCGAGTTTTTAAAAAGGGATTGGTAAAGTTGTTAGCTTTGGACACTGAGGTAGTGATTGTAGGTAACCATTCATACTTTCATAGATTCTGTACTTGCTTTGTTTTCTTGACCTTGACTGGTTTACTGCGTTATTCCCGGTGATAGTATTAAACCATTAACCAGGTTCCAGAATTATACACTTATTATTATCAGATTCAGTTTGTTGCAAGTTACAACCCAAGTTTTATTATATGTTACTGGTTTGTAATTAGCACATGATGATTGTTTTGGAAGTTCTCTTGTAACACTGCGTTGTTTGTGTTGTTGTTACATTCAGGGCTCCTGCAGGCCCATTACTCTGTGGAAAACCTACACTTGCATCGACTGTACCTGCACTGTGTAATGCGCACTTCCAGAAATCGCAGAAGCTAGTTGCTAAAGCTTTGAAGGATGCTGGCCACAGTGTTTCTTCAGCAAACAAGCCTCCCCCAAAGCTGCATGTCATAGTAGCAGCGTTTGTGAATCATATTCAAACTAAAAGAAAATTTTCAGGGAGTGAGGGTAAACTTAAAAATGTAGTGAAAGAAGAAAATACAAGCTGAGCCAAGCCTTTAGCGTTCCCAGATGAAAGTTTGTACTAAGTCATCCTGAAGTGAAAGGTGAGGAACTTAACGTACTGTATCATTCTAAGTGAGAAAGACACAGGTCAAAATCTCTTTGAATTGCCACAGTTAGGTTGGTCTCTTTGCTAGTTGACAAGACCTTGGTGTAATTTTGGATATACTCAACTGTTTTTTCCTGTTCTTGTTGGATATGCCGAAACCTATCTCAAAGGACTTGCCCCCTACCTTTGTTGGTGCTCGTACAATACTATCTTAACACAATTATAATTTGATTGCATTATTTTTGACAGGCTTGTGGTTAGGCTCCTCTCCACTGTACATGAGCTATTGGTCACCTGTCTAATGTTGAATGGAGACTAGCTGCACCTGAAGCGATCTCTTAAACAAAGCATGGAAATAACCACTTGGCCGCCTGCCGGTCAAGCCTGATAGACACAAAAGTTTAGTGAAACCTTAGAAATCTTTTTTTTGAGACATTTATTGTATCAGGAGAAATCTAATAGACTTGGATTCCTGAATTATGAATGGTGGTAAGGTGTCTGGTTGCCTAAAGTTTTTTTTTTTGGTGTTATGCATGCATGCGTTTTAAGGGGTACTTTGGTGAATGCTATGCGTCTGAATCTTGTGGCAAGCATGTGTGAAAGACTGCAAACAGGAATCTAAAACATTTTTGAGTAAATATAGAACTGAGAATTTGTTCCTGAATGGTAAACATAAAACTTCTTGGTTGCGCTCTGCTTCTTCGTCAGCCTTATCTCATTTCTAGTTCTCGGTTCTCGTGAGTAGGTGGTTATATACTGATTCTGTTACAGTGTAGATATCGGATCTTTGTCGGTATTGAGCTATCAAGAGCCTGAGACAAAACATGTTTTGTTGAAGTTTAAGAATAGTGGGAGGGTCAAGACAAGGTCGAAGTAGTTACTAAGATGAACATCCTAATGTTTTCAGTCCTTTATAAGATGATAATAAATCCGTAAGCACACACGTAGCTTGGCTTCTGTTATTTTCATTTGTGCTTATGGTTCTAATATCATTTATGTAATCTAATTCGATTAGTTCTAAACACATGAAAAAACGATGCCTCGTTGCCTGCATATTAGGATATTGCATATGTTTTCACTTTCCACAAGTAAAACGTAGAATGATCATGACCAGATAGCTGAAATATTGAGAAAACCGGACGGTTTATGCATTATCTGGTTTTCCAATGGAACCGAACACTGACTGAATACCTGCCCGGCCCTTCGGGTCTAACCTAAAATACTGAACCGGAGATCCCCGGTTAAGAGTTTAAGTGCATGCATAGTCGAAAGGTTCAGCTTTCGGTTTAGTAGCCGGTTCGATGACAACTTGCTGCAACTCATATTCAATGTTTGCAATTAAAATAAGTAGATACAGTAAGCGACAAAAGCGCTGAGAGGAGGAGAAAGGAAGCGACGAAGCTTAGTGGAATAGCCGTCGCCTATCACAGCTCACTGTTCAAAGCTCAAAGTCAAAGAGTAGGATCAAAGAAAGCAGATAGTTTTGGCTAAAACGTGGAGAAAGAAAGAAAAAAAGTATGGCGAATAGCAAGTACGAGTATGTCAAGTCATTCGAACTTGAAGACCAAGTTATGTTTCCTAATTTAATTGTTGTCCGGATCGATGGTCGTGATTTTTCTAGGTAAAATTACTTGCATTTGTTGTAGTTTTATTTATCACTTACTGAGTTGATAGTGTATCACATTTGTTCATGGAAATTCAAAATTTGATGAAGGTTATATTCATATTTTATATGTCGAGAATGCTCTCTCTCTCACCTTTTTTTTCTTTTTTTTTATGTTAACCACTATAGATTTTCTCAAGTTCATGAGTTTGAGAAGCGATGAAGCAGCCCTCGGTCTGATGAATTCATGTTCTGCTGCGGTTTTGGAAGAGTATCCTGATTTCATCTTTGCATATGGATTCAGTGATGAATACAGGTTTACTTTGTTTTGGCTTTATTTGTCTTGGGTTTCTACACTCTCACTCCCATTCATGTACATATCGCCTTTAATTGTTTTTTTTTGTAGCTTTGTATTCAAGAAAACGTCAAGATTCTACTAGAGACGAGCCAGGTATCAATTCATCTAAACTTGAACAACCCTTTTGCATAATGTCATGTGTTTTCATTTCTCTGATTCACTCATAGTCTTTCACTTTCTTGTTTTTGTTTAATCTGCAGTAAGATTTTGTCGTTGGTAGCTTCCTTCTTTGCTGCAACGTATGTAACAAAATGGAAAGAGTTCTATCCCCAAAGAAAACTTGAATGTGCTCCTTCTTTCACCTCAAAAGTTGTAACTTGTGCATCAACAGAGGTTCTTCAAGTTTATCTCGCGTGGAGACAACAGGACTGTAAGACAATCTCACCTCAGAAACATTGTACTTGACACACACTAATGATCATTTCTGTTCCAGATATTATTTATACTAACAGCTTCCGTCTTTTCGTTACAGGCCACGCCAAGAAGAATCAGTATGAAAATTGCTTTTGGATGTTAGTTAAAAGTGGAAAGACCATAAGTGAAACACAAGAGATTCTTAAGGTGTGGCGTTTTGCTTTTCTGTGACAGATATCAATGTTCTTTTTTCACTCAAATGCTTTTCTTATTAGTGCTTATATTTGGTAATTTGTTCACACCATTAGTGCTTATATTTCGTAATTTGTTCACACTATTTGTCTATTTCCGTTGGGGGCCTGCAGGATACACAAAAGCAGCAGAAAAATGAGCTTCTCTTTCAGAAATTTGGTATCAATTACAAGACGCTTCCTGTACTGTTTCGCCAAGGATCATGTCTTTTCAAGACAAAGGTGATTGTTTATGTTTTCTGTTAGAAATTATATATTTAGCGAGTTTATGCTTGATTTAATATGTGGTGCGTTAATAGAATATCAACCATCAAATTGTAAGTTAATTTTCTATCAAGGCTATTAAGATCAGTTTGTTGAACAATATAATTGGTTCCACATGTACGTTTAGGCTTTTAATTTTAAATGGGAATTATCTAAACTCTTGTAAAATATTATCATGTTTAGGAGACTAGTACTTCAGATTTTGTTGATGTATCTAGCTGGAATTATGTGTCATCTTCTTTGTATTGTGTTTTGTGAAAAGTTAGATCTTCTCTTTTGATCGCATCCCTTGACTTAATATAGAATTTCTATATGAGATACTTTCATTTAGCTTCCTTTAGGTGGAAGAAACTATAAAACATGATGAGAATGGTAATCCTGTAAAACGATTGAGGAGAAAGGCTGTTTTAGTACATTCGGAGAATATTGCTGCAAGAACCTTCTGGAATGAGAACCCCTCCCTTTGTAATGACATTGGACACTCCACGAATGATATTGGCAAAATTGAACCAGATTTGGCTAGGTCGTTCGAGTTTGAGAACAAACTGTTACCTTTAACTTGGGTGGTAGTTAGGATTGACGGCTGTCACTTTCACAGGTAATATTGCATTGTAGCCTTAGACTAGTCAAGTCCATTTGCTCCCTAGGATTCAGCCATGTCATGGAATGATATTCTTCCTTTGCTGGCCTCTTCAGTTTGCTGATGTTATGTTGTGGTTACTTTAATCAAGGGCATATTCTAGTGTTCTTGAACCTTACCTTGCATTTTTAGCAAGATGACAACATTTAATCAAGTAACGTTCTATATTGAGAATGTAACTTTTGAAGCTTTCTTGGACTTTGGTAGATTTTCTGACGTTCATGAATTTGAGAAGCCAAATGATGAGAAAGCTCTGAAACTTATGAATTCATGTGCAGTGGCTGTTCTCGAGGAGTTTCAGGATATACAGTTTGCCTATGGTGTCAGTGATGAATACAGGTCTTTATTATCTGAACCTCTTTCATATCAATTTTTAGATATCTGAGGTATTAATTAAGTTTATCTATCGATTCCAGCTTTGTTTTGAAGAAAGAATCTGAGCTCTACAAAAGACAATCCAGGTTAAACTAAATTCTCTTTTCCCTGCCATGTTTTAGCTCTATCTCCCTGATTCTTTTGCTTCTTAATTTTCTAATATTGTGTCGCAGTCAGATAATATCAGCAATCGCATCCTTGTTTACATCCACATATGTGATAAAATGGAGAGATTTCTTCCCTCATAAAGAACTGAAGTACCCTCCATCATTTGATGGACGAGCAGTATGCTATCCAACCTACAAGATTCTTTTGGATTATCTGGCTTGGAGACAAGTTGACTGTGAGTAAGATAGTGTCTGAGAAATGATTACATATCTCTGTGAATTGAAACCCGAATATATGAATAGCCTCATGTTTTCTTTCTGCTTTTTCGTGTTTGGCAGGTCATATTAATAATCAGTATAACACATGTTTTTGGATGCTTGTTAAGTCTGGAAAAAACAAAACTCAGTCCCAAGATTACTTAAAGGTACTTTGTTAGGGATAAAAAAACAACTTCATATCTCATGACTTGAAAGTGGTTCTTCTTAACTTGCTCTTTGTGAATGATTTTTCCAGGGAACCCAAACACGAGAGAAAAACGAGTTGCTTAGCCGTCAATTTGGGATTGAGTACAATTCATTGCCTATAATCTTTCGAATGGGGTCCTCTGTTTTCCGCTTAAAGGTGAGCATTTTCCGTATACAAATGAACTGCCTCCATATCTTCGGATGAACATTGAAGAGCTTTGTAGTTACCTGTTAAACAGTTGTCTCATTATTCATTTTTTAGGAAGCTGCTGCAGTGGAGAATGGAGTAGTCTCTGGGAAGAAACTGAAACTGGAGGGAGAAGTGGTTGTTGATCATTGCAACATCATCGAACGCTGTTTCTGGGAAGAACATCCACACATTCTTAGCTATTCATAAAACCCAGCTGCGTTTCACTTCCCCTGTAAGACTAATTTATTGCAAATAATTTTGAATATCCAAAGTCTTTTTCTTTTTCTTCGTCAACAATGAAAGGCAATGCTGAATCAATTTAGTGACATATTAGACTTCAGAGAAGTAGGTCGGTTTCGAATGTCAATGTGTGCTTCCGTGGAAAAAATTGATTGTATATATTAAATGAAAATAGTTTTACGTATAAATTTTTTAAAAGTACATTGAATTTTATTAAAACAAAAATCATCATTTTGGTATTTATGAAATAACTTTGGCTGAAAATAATCATCATCTCTTTTAAAGATGGTGTTTATACATAAATATTAGATTTATAATAACTCTCGTATGATGTTTTAATCTTTCCTGTCATAGGTGGCGGTTTATTAGTGTTATTGTGACAAGTTGAGATTCCATGAATAATAATAGTACTATCCTCAACCAGGGTGAGTCTAACATTCACAAATAACACAGATCCTACAACACACTTCAAATAACATAGTACAAACTAAGCAAACCATTGTTAAATCTTGCCTAAAAAGAAGAAGAGCAACATTGATTTCTTTCAGTTTGTCCTTGGCACTAAAGCAAAGCTGAAACAGTTACAACTGATCTATGGCTTCATTATGGAGCAGAACTTAAGGACACAACTTGTGTCTTCTTCCCAAATCAGCTTCAACTTGATTGATTCGCCTGTCTTTACACAGTTAGCTTTGAAGAAATCCTTCCATCCTCCGGTCATTCTTATTCTTGTACCTTCAGAACGCAGTTTCGTACACCACTTTACACCCTGTTTATCTACCAGACTCAGTTTAGTTCCCACAGTGATGCCATGTAGATCTGTGAAGGGTTTGGGAAGAAACTGCAATAAAGATTTTATTTTAAAAATAAATCAAACTCAATAGAATGGAAAAAGACAAATGGCTTTTGAGTGATGAAACTAACCAGTACACACTTTGTGACATTGTAAGGTTTAAGAGTTATTGTAACAAATCTGTTTAGGGATGGTGAAGATGAAGCTTTCCATATTGATATATGCCTCTTGAGGCTTTTCTCATCTTGGTTGCTCTCTTCATCCCTCTCAGATTCCGTGGAAAGGGACTCTATTTCATCAGCTTCTTCTTTGGATTCTCTGTGGGAGGGAGACTTACGTAGAACCAGTGTTGCACCTCTTTTGATGAGTCTGAAAGTGAAGAAATCTCCAGCCTTGAGTCCATTGGCACTACAGAAACTTCTCCATCCTCGTGTGATGTAACTTCTTCTTCCACATTGTCTTTGTTTTAAAGATGAAGTCCATGATCTACCTTTTTCATTCATCAGAACAATATCTCCACATCTTGTCTCTAGACCATTTGCCCTCACAAAACTCCTTGGAAGATTCTTGAAATTCATTACAATATAACATGACTTTTTGATCAAACTACATATCCTACTAGTAAGTATAGGAGAGTAGATTACCAGTAAGTCACAGCGTAGGGTCGAAGGCATGACCTTGGCCGAGAAACAAGAGGGATCTAAAGAACAGTACTCTGCTTCTCTTTTTGGATTCTTCTTCCCTAAAAAAAAAAAAGAAACATGCAAATAGTCAAAACTACTACTTCAACATATAAGCTTTTAGACTTTCTTAGTTCTCAGAACAAACTCACCTATGTTGTTGTTCTTGTCGTCTAAACACGACTCATCATATTGAATCTCACAGCAACTTGGTCCAAATAGTGTCACGTGGAAAGTCATATATTTCTCTTGTCTGAAAATGAGAATGTCACCAACTCGAAGGTTGTGCGCAAGAGCGAACTCTTTCCAACCATCAGTGAGTCTCCGGCCATCTTCTGTCTTTACTTCCCATGTTATCTCCGACGCGTCTGATCTAAGCTTCGCCGTAGTAGTCTTCTCATCATTTCTTCCTTCTATATGCTTGGAGAAGAAGGCTACAGGAATTGTCTGAAGCAACATGCAAAGTTACAAAACCATCTCTCAATTGGTTTCTTAGAGAAAGACAAGATAGATATAGAAGAAGGTAGAGACAGAGAGAGTACCAAGTGACTGTGGAAGCCAGGAAGAAGGGGCTGAAAGAAATGTTTCTTGGCCATTCTCAGAATCGTCAGTAACTCTAAACCTCCTGGAGAAAATAAATGTAATAAACCAACTTGAAGATGACGTTTCATTGTCTTATTTATTGCAGATGAGCTTCTTCTTCTTTTTTTTTGGTTTGGTTGGTTAAAGACCTTAGTCAAGCAGTGAATGTTCATTTATTGTAGAGCTTCTTCTTTTCAAGATATTTATTCTTTTGTTTGGTTTCATTTAAAATTCTCAAAAGGAAAAGTTGGTACAAACCTTAAGGCCACAATATTATCCGTTACACAACTTAAAACTTAAACTCCTTGGATGATGCTGAGACATTCTCTGAGTTTAGACAGAATCTGAAACTCGTTGTTGAGTCTTGAGCGAAAGAGATATTTTCACGGCATGGTATTTTGAGTAATCGTGAATGTTTGCTGTCGATTCTTACCAAACCCATCAATCACATGAATGGTGTGGAATATAATCCATCGCAAAGCATTGTGTGTTTATTGTTAAACATATGTCTGAATATATTCATTTAGAGGAAACTGTCGCAGTGGAGTAGTTTCAGGGAAGGAACTGAAACTGGAAGGAGAAGTGGTTGTAGTCTTGTAGATCATAGCAACGTCATCGACGTATGCTTTTCACTTCACCTATACTAAGTTTAATTATATGCAAATACGTCAACTATTTATTTAAAAGGTTACAATTGTTAAGACTTCAAAGAATTATTTCGGTCTTGAATCTTTAAAAGTAGGAAAATAACGTATAAACATAAATAAATCATGTATATAATTGTTGAAAATGAGATAAGGAGATACGCAAGACATTAAATTCACACCATATCTGTGCATCGACCAACTGCAAACTCCTGTTGCGTTACGTAAAAGTTGAATAAAGACAATGTTCTCAATAAATTGACACCATATCTGCATTGAGGGCACGTTTATCTTCTCAATGTTCTTTGTATGATGAATAAAGACAATACTATTAAAAGTTTCTATCGTCTTGTATAGTTAGATGTACTCCAAATGTCTATTAAGTCGGTCAACTACTTGATAACGACCTAACATACTAAAATTTTCAAAGTCTAGTTGGTAGATTATGAGAAATTTTGTTTGTTTTCATTTCAAATTTAAGTTGGTGGACTTTTTGTACATGTGTTCTTGTTGAGATAATACAACAATATATATATATATATATATATATATATATATATATATATATATATATATATATGTATTTTTATATTAAATCTAATAAATATCTCTTAAAACATCATTATTGTAAAACTTTAAAATGGGTATATTATATTAATATTTTTTAGATGTGAACACAAATATAGTAGTGTCTATTTCAAAAACTTAAAAATACATATACACACAATGTCTTTCACTGAGAATTTTCGTACAAGTTTCTAAAATTTGTAGATATTTAATAGTAAATACTTATATGTTTTTGTATTCATACTTAAAATAAATATTAATATAATTTCAAGTATTCTGTATTTAAAATATTTTTATTTTTTGCTAACTGCTCATATTTTTTAAACAAGTTTGATTGGTAAAACTGTCATTTTGTTTTAAGTAAAAAAATGTCATTTGAAGAACAACTCTAAATTTTTTTCTAAAGAAGGAAAGAAGGTGTTATAAAGTCAATAGCATTAGCAAATCATGTAATGTTTTGTTACCGAATACCAAAGACAGTGTGAAGAACTTGACAACTTCTGTGGCTAAATTCTAGTGGGGTCTAGGAGGGAGCTCCTGAAGGATGCATTAGCAATATTGGGATAAATTATGTCACACCAAAGAGGAGGGTGGTTTGGGATTCAAAGAGCTAGTAGATTTCAATACAGCTATGTTCGGGAAACAACTTTGGCGCTTAATTGAGAAACCTAACACTTTATTTTCAAAAGTGTTCAAAAGGCGGTATCTCAGGAATGCTTCACCTTTGTAGCCGATTAGATCATATTCTCCATCTTACGGATGGTGTAGTATGATCTCAGCTAGATCTATGGTAAGCAAAAGACTAATCAAAAGGGTAGGAACATGATCGTCCATCTCAGTAGGGAATGATCCATAGATCTCATCCACTTGCCCAATACCAGCAAACAGTAACCTACAATTTCATCACCCGGATCTCACAGTGGACTCACTCATCAATACAACCTCACGATTAGATCATATTCTCCATCTTACGGATGGTGTAGTATGATCTCAGCTAGATCTATGGTAAGCAAATGACTAATCAAAAGGGTAGGAACATGATCGTCCATCTCAGTAGGGAATGATCCATGGATCTCATCCACTTGTCCAAGACCAGCAAACAGTAACCTACAATTTCATCACCCGGATCTCACAGTGGACTCACTCATCAATACAACCTCACGAACATGGAATTATCAGGAAATTCGAGCGTTGGTAGACCCAGAGGATGCAAAGGTTATGAAAAGTATACCACTGAGTCGCAACCTGCTAGTTGACAAGGAGGACTGACATTTTACAAAAAAATGGTAAATATACGGTCCAATCAGGCTACCAGGTTGAGAGAGTATACCCATATATAAAAAGAATGGCCCTGGTGTCTGGACCAAATTTTAACCTCTGAAAGCACACTACTGGAAAATACGCTGCCCTCTCCCTAGATAAAACATTTCTTATGGCAAATTGTTTCAGGATGTCTTTCGGTAAAGAAAAATTTAAGAGCGCGTGGAATGCAAGGAGAAACTCTGTGTGCAAGATGTGGAGCAGAGGAAAAATCAATCAATCATGTATTGTTTGAATGTCCTACGGCTTTACAAGTTTGGGCCCTCTCACATATACCATCCAACCTGTTAATATTTCCCACTGCGTTGATTTTTACGAATATGAATCATTTATTTTGGAGGGTGGGGCTGCAAATAGATAGTCATCAGTTTGCATGGACTCTTTGGTATATTTGGAAAGCTAGAAACAATCTGGTTTTCAGCAACATTGTCATAGATCCTAGAGATACTGATATCACTCAAATTACCCTAAGGAGTGAATTACTCTCATCAAAAGAGGTTCAATTGTAGTACTTAGGGATCGAATCCACAGAGACTCTAGGATTACACAACAGATTATTTAGTTTTCGAAATAAAGTTAGATAGCAGTATTAAACAGTAACTTAAAAGGGTAACCAAGCGATTGCTTGATTGATTAATTTGTTTGTTAAGAGAAAAGAAGGTAGTTAAACTTAGGTATTTTCTCAGGTATGACAAACATGCAAGTTATAAAGAGTTTATTATTCATAGTTTTGGATTCAAACTCTTATGGATTTGAAGAATTAACTCTTACTGGATCTCGGGTCAAGAACTATCGTTCGATGAACTTGAGTAAATATCGATTGATAGTTCGATAGAAATATCGATTGATGTTGTTATGCTATATCAGTCGACAAGACGGTTATCTCGTCGATCGATATTGCATCCAGCGAGTTCTACTAATAGATTTGAAAGGGTTCTCTAGTCTTCAATAAATAACTTAGACTCTAGGTAATTGCTAAGTTCTCACTTATCCAAATTGATCGTAAAATCAGAGGTAAGGGTGATCTATCCTTAACACTAGTATTTATGATGACTAGATTTAGAACTATATTTTAAACACGCTAATAATGATTACTTCAATGCATGAGTCAACCATAATGAGAAACCTAAATCTAACAAGAGAGACTACTCAAACATATTTATGAGAGACAAGGTCATAATGGTTTGAATAATGCTTTAAGATAATAATAATAATAAAAGAAATAATAAGTAAAGCAAGGGAGTTCAAGATCTTCTCTAGATTGTAGTTCAGATCTCTCTCTCAATTCCTAAGCTCTTCTTCAAAGTATGGCTAGATGCTTCTCACAAAAATTAGGTCTAAAAAGGTCTCTGCAGAAATCTGCTTAAACTAGTACAAAATCCTCTTAATGTAGCTTAACAGGCGGCCAGGGACTGAAGGTGTAATTGATTAAAACTCCTGTGTAGCAATTAGGGCTTCTAATCTTCATTTAGTCGCTTTGGAGGACTTCTGTATCGATCGATATAGAATTTCTTCTGTCGATCGATCCGGGTGATCTTTCATCGGCCGATTGCTCTTAATGCACATCGGTCGATACCGTTTAACACGTTTTTCTCATATCTTCAGAAAGTCTCCATTTTAGCTCCATAATAGCCATTTTACACCAGTATGTACCTGAACCTGTAAAAGCTCTAAAAAGACACTAAAAGTATCTTTTTGTTTCCAAAAATATATATATAAATCATGCCAAGTTGTGAGTTGAAGCACAAACATCATTACCACGACATATCATCCAATCTAGAGAGTCGGAGATACTAACACTCTCTCAAATCCCAGGTAGATGGTGTTATACAGACGGATCATGGAAAGCCGGGGATCAGTTTTTGGGGCAAAGATGGTATAGAACTTTGGAAGATTTTGACAGTCTGATGGGAGCAAGGAACACAAGAACCAGCCTCTCACCTCTCCATTCTGAATTAGAGGCACTTATTTGGACAATGGAAAGTATACATAACTTATGACAGTTCCCTGTGATGTTTGCAATGGATTGTTCTCAAGTGGTGAAGATGGTTTTGGAACCAGAGGAATGGCCCGCATTTGCAACATACCTGGAAGATATCAGGTTATTGAAGGAGAATTTTCACTACTCTGCCGTCATATATGTACACCTAACGAATAATACAAGGGCGGATGGTCTAGCACGCAATGCGCGGAAGCAGCAGTCCTTTGTCGTTCACATGGATGCCGAGTTACCATTATGGTTCACATGGTCTTAGTTGAGTCTGTATCTTAATAACCAAAAAAAGCTCTAAGTTCAAGTCTGCCAGATACCAACTCTAAATATTCAGTTGAAAAACTGCAATACCGATGCCCTTGAAGTTCAAGTCTAAACATGAAAATGTATCTTTCCAGTGACATTCTATTTTTATTATATTTTTAATCTTCTATTCTAATTTTTTTTTTAAAACATATGTACTTTCCAGTGACATTCTATTCTAATCATTTTAAAAAACTAATTTTAATTTTTAAATATTTTTTTTTGAAAACATATGTACTTGTTTTGTGCAAATCTGATAGTAGATATCACATTGCAGTTTTTTTTTTTGCATAATCTTTGATAAAAAATAATTTATTGACTTTTTTTCTTTTTTTTGGTCACCAGCAAAAACACAGACTCTTGATAACACAGATTCTATGAAGACTCTGTAAACCAGACAGGAAGGTCTGTATTCATATGAACAACGGAAGACGATTACTTTCTAGCACTACGTGCCAGCCTATCCGCCTTGGTATTCAGCGTTCTTGGTATATGGACGACATCTGAATGATTGAAACTCTCTCTAAGGGTCTTGATGTCTTCCAAATAGTTCGCAAATGCTGGCCATTCCTCAGGTGTAGAAACCATCTTCACCAATTGAATAAAATCCGTCGTAAAAGTAACATTGTATTGACGCAAATTTGTTCGAATACAATAAATTTGATAAAAAAGAAGTAAAATTCAAATAACATTTGTTTTAATTATTGTGTCACAATGTTAAAGTCTAGGACTAGGCATAAAATCCGTGATCTGAAATCGTAATAGAATCCGAACTAAAAAATCCATTTGTATCTGGTCCGAAAAGTAAAAAAATACCCGAATAGGTTCTAATGTGCTACAAAACATATCCAAACCCAAAGTGTTATTAACCAAACCCTAATAAGTAACCCAAAAACCCCTAAAATATATATGAACAAACCGATCCGAAGGTCCAAATTAATATACATTGAAATATAAATATGTATTTCAAATATTCAACTTCATATTTATTTTGATATCATATCTACTAATAAGTATTTTAAATTTAAATAAATGCCTTAAATACCCATTTTAATATAAATAAGTAAATATTTTCTATGTTTTGCTTATAAATTTTAGATTTTTCAGGTATATCCAAACTGATCTGATATAACTTGAATCTGAATGATATATGGATACTTTATAGGTTGATACAAAACCGAAGTCTTAGATCCAAACCCGTACTTACAAATTTACTAGAATAAGACATAGAATATGATGTAAATTAGAACGTATATCCGAAAAAGGATCTGAAGTACCCTAACACCGACCGTTGAGGGCCTTGATGGAGCGGTTGATGGTGGAACGAGAGTGGTGTTATGTTTATCAAGACACTGAGCGTTGTAAGTAACATAATCTCTGAGCTTGACAGAGGGCTTTGAGATGCGATGTCCTCTTCCTAGCTCCTCCTCTTGCGCAATCATATTACTCTCAACATCATCAACCGGTGTCACAACATCTGTCTCAGTCACTGATTCCCTAGAAGCTGTAACCTCTTCATCGCTCCTTCCTAACTCCTCAACCGGAAGATCTTCATTACTTCCCCGCAACTCCATAACCGGGAGCTCGTAGACTGACGAAATTACATCGTTTGCCTCCGTCTCGAAAGGAAATGAACACTCATTAAACACTACATCACGCGATGTAAAGAACTCATGGCTCTCCAAGTCATACAGTCTCCAGCCTCGTTTCCCAAATGGATATCCCACGAAGACGCACTTTCTGCTTCTCTCTTTGAATTTATCCTTGTCACGAGAATTCTTATGAGCAAAACACAGGCACCCAAGGACTTTGATATCGACATACGATGCAGCCTTGCCATACATGCACTTATACGGTGTTTTTCCATGTAGCAAGCTAGACGGCGTTCTGTTGATTACATGTGCTGCTGCAAGAACGCACTCTCCCCAAAATTTGATGGGAAGGCTGGCTTGAAACATCAGTGATATCGAGACATTCAGTATGTTACGGTGCTTACGTTCGACCCTACCATTCTAATGCGGAGTAGACACACACGACGTTTGGTGGACAATGCGGTTGTCCGAGAAGTACTTCGACAGATACATGAACTCAGTCCCATTATCACTCCTAACCTTTTGAACCGAGTTCCCAAACTGTCTCTCAACGAAGGCGCATAAGTTTGGTAAGATCGTCTTAACCTCTGATTTCTCTAGAAGTAGATGTATCCAGACAGCTCTGGAGAAGTCGTCAACGATCGTAAGGAAGTACACAGCACCACATGAAGATGGCACTCTGTAAGGACCCCAAAGATCAACATGTATTAATTCAAATGCAGCGGAAGCTTTATTGAAACTTTCAGAAAATACACCACGAGTTTGTTTGGACTTGAAACAGATGTCACATCCACCAAATTTCTCCTTATTGTCTAAAACACCAGAAACAAAAGGTAAATGTTCTAAAACACCAAAGCCAGGATGTCCCAATCTTCGATGCCACAAAGTCTTGTCTTCACCCGACTTAACTCTAAGACCTCGCGCCAAAGTAACATCCCGATAAATATAAACTCCACCTCGTTCTTCACCGGCTCCAATCAGGGTCCTCGTAAAACGGTCCTGCAACACACAAAGAGTGTCAGTGAACACAGCCAAACAACCAGTCTCCTTGAGTAGTTTAGCAACCGACAGTAACGTGCAGTTCAAGTTAGGAACAAACAAAACATTTCTCAAAGTAAGCTTGTCTGATAGACGCAATGAACCGCTCTTGGATGCCTTTACTTGGCTACCATCAGCGAAACTAACAGGGCAATAGACTATGTCCACTGTATCGGTGAGCAAACCCAGATCACCGGTCATATGGTGAGATGCTCCGGTTTCTAGAATCACCTCACCCGATTGACGCTTACCATTCATTTTGTCTGGAATAGGTGTTGGCTTCTGCTGCTCGAGAAGAGACATCAACGATGCCCACTGCTCCGGTGAAAGACCGGGAACTTCTGACCTTGTCGCGGCTTAAGCCACATTAGAGACATCAACGTATGCACCTTCTCTTCTTCATAATCTGCGACGATCTTCTCAGACGCATCACACGTACACTTAGGAAGTGGCTTGTAGTTGAGTATCTCCTCCCACTTCTGTGAAAGTCGACCAAAATAGTCAATAACAGAGGAACCACCTTGCTTACATGCCGATAACTCCGATCTCAGTTGATGCACGTGTACTGCGTTACCCACCGAGAATCTCGTTTTCAGATCACACCACATCTTGTGCGCATCAGGCGTGAACATCACGGTCCGCTGGTGAAATTGACACCCTTATCCAGCCAACGATCATAGAGTTCACCGTCTTCCACATCTCTGCCTCAACTGGCTCTTCAGTCTCGCTCGGCATCTTCAAAGTACCGTTAATGAAACCGATCTTGCGCTTTGCACGAAGCACGTTCTCCAACTCCGATGACCACTCGCCATAGTTCTCTCCTGTCAACGAGACGGGTGAGATGGATAGACCTGGATTATCCGACGGATGAAGATAGTACGGTGACGTTGTACCAATGTTACTGCTACTTGCAGATTTCACGATTTCTTTAGACATGATTTTTTTTCTCAACGTTTCTTCCGATGGATCTTTTTTAGAGAGGCTCTGATACCATGTAAAATAAGAAAGAAGAAGTTGAGAATGTTCTGGGTTCTATTTACCATGTGGAGACTACATATATACTTGTTACAATGAGATCACAACACATTAGATATTTTCTTATCGATGTCTACTCATTAATGCCACAATATCACAATATCTCCGATGTAACTTCCCAAGTCTTGATGTAACCATAAACCGATGTAACCGGACATATCGATGTAACCATAAACCGATGTAACCATCGGCTAACAGTTCAAGCCAGAGATGAAGACTCTCTAAACCCTCAGTTTCATATGAAAAGAGAGACTTATGAACAGTCTTTGAAAATGTTTGGTGTCCACTTTTGTAATCCTCATTATTAAACTTGAGTTCTGGCACCGATTTTCAAAGAGACTGCCATTTTTTTAGACAATGTACTCGTTGATACAGCTGTTTTTATGGGAAGAGAAGACATGATTTTCAGAATCAAATCGTCATGCAGCTGACTGATCATGTCCTCAACCAGGGGCGGAGGTACATAGACCAAGGGTGGGGCAGTTGCCCACCATGGTTTTCAAAATTTCAGTGTATTTGTAGAAACTTTTGAAAAATGCCCCTATTGATATTGTTGATAAATAGTATGTATGCCCCGGATCAAAATAACTTCTAGATCCGCCACTGTCCTCAACCATGACACCACTCATTAGAAAAAAATTCACTGCAAACAAAGAAAAAACATATATTAAGATTTATGCGTTTCGGTTGATATCATAATTCAAAACGCCTATAAACATAAGAATAAACAAAGAAACATACCTTTTGAAATGTTGTTGCTAGTAAAATCCTTCAGATTTAATGCGCACTTCTATTTGAAGATATTTTTACCCAAAAGTTGGTTTGCACAAATCAAATCTTAACAAGCAAAAAACCTTAATGTTAAAATTGCATACTCGAAATTGCATATTTTGTTTTCAGGTGGTGGTCTCTAGACATTCTATAATATTTAAGATGATACCTTAATATTAAGATTGCATACTCGAAACTGTAGATTTTGTTTTCAGTTGGTGGTCTCTGAACATTCTATAATATTTAAGATGAAATCATTGGTAGCTAAGCAGAAACAACTGAGAGCAAATCATATTACTGATATTTCTTCGATTACGCGGGGTTGATAAAATACTTATTTGTTGAAATTAGATATACGAACTTTACATCTCATTTATAAGGTGATAATTTGATAGTTTTTAAGGATTGTTTCCTATCCCGTTAATATGTTTTTTTAATAAATGCCGACCTTCAAAAAATAGAATTATATATTTCATTTTTGATTGACAAAATAATCATATTCTTTATAATCTTTTTTTGTAACACTTATATTATCATCTAAACAATATAAGTTTGTACATGTACCGAATAATGAACGAAAGATAGAAAAGTTAAAATATAAAATAAGATGGGGAAACATTAAATATGAGATCACGGATGGCTACCCCCCACCACCATTCCTCACAAGAGAATCATCATTTAGAGCGTCTTATTCATGCACATATCTCTTCCATATATAAGGATATCTATGTTGATAATATTTATATTTCTTCACTTTCATCAAAACTAAGAACAAAGAGAATAATAGAGACCAGAAATGGCGGATGAAGGTCCAAAGTCTATCTATGACTTCACCGTCAAGGTATGGCTTCTTATTTTGGTTCATCGTAGATTCTTGATTCATATAAACAAGTAAAAAAGACCCAAAAATAAGAAAATAATTTCATTTTAGCAACGGAACTTCCAATGCTCTCTCTCTCTCTCTCTCTCTCTAGAAAAACAGAAGAAGAAATATATACATGACTATCCCTGAATTTTGTGTGAGGGTTGAAATAATTACCATTTGAGGGTTTTAGTCGAATGATCTATATACAGTACTTAAAATTTGGAGAAAGGCATGTTTTCGAAGGAAGCATATGTGTTTATATTTTGTTTGTTGAACATGGCAGGATATTGAAGGTAAAGATGTGAGTTTGAGCCAATTCAAAGGCAAAACTCTTTTGATTGTAAACGTTGCCTCCAAATGGTAAGAACCCATTGTTTGTTAATTTATTTATTTTCTCTCACTGATTTAAGCAAGAATTATTATGTTAAAAGGCCTCTATGGTTTGAGTTCTCAAGATATAGTGCCGGTTTAGGGGGAGGCAAATTAAACATGGCAAATGCCCTGGATACACCCTAAAATCACATAAATTTGTAGAGAAAATAGGTCTAAAATTTTATATTTAATAAACTGTAATACATATGTAATACATAAAAAACAACTTTGTCCATGGGTCCATTACAATGTTAAGCCGGGAATGAAACAACAAAAGGTCTTGTAATACATTATTAGTAACCGATCAACTCGGTTTGGTTTGATTAGTACCACTCTGTACTTTTACAATTCCGTTTTACTATAATGTTTGGTTTGTTTATGTAAGAACATGAAAGATTCTAGTAATATTATTTCATTTTTAGTTTGCTAAATATAACACTTTAAAAAAAAAAAGCAGAAACTAAACTAAAGTTCTTATTACTGCAGTGGTCTGACGGATGCGAACTACAAGGAACTAAATGTTCTGTACGATAAATACAAGGACCAAGGTTTGTTACTCATGTATATACAAAGTCTGTTTTTCATATTTTAATTGTGAAATATAATGTTAATAAATTGCAAAGAACAATATTAGGGTTGGAGATATTAGCGTTCCCATGCAATCAGTTCTTGGGACAAGAACCAGGAAACAATGAAGAGATCCAACAAGCTGTCTGCACAAGGTTCAAAGCTGAGTTCCCCATCTTTGACAAGGTACTTGATTTATGTCTTAATCAAATTTAAATATGTTACCACCTCTGCTAATTAATCACACTCTAATATAAATTACTAAGCTACAATGCTTCTACAACAACTTTCATATCCATTCAATATTTTAAATAGCAAAAAGATTAGTGTTATACTACCCCTGTTCCGAAAAATAGGATGTTTTGGGTTTTCCTTTGTATTTTTGTATAACATTATTAATGCTTTTTCTTTAAAAAACAACTTAGTCAATTTATATTTCTATTTACGATGGTTTACTTAGATATTTTTTGGGTAAAAACTACTAAGAATAATCAATATTCCAACAAATCTTGTTTTGGAGAAAGTAAAACATTAAACACAAATGCTTACTATAAAAGAGTGCATTTAATGTTTCTTAAACTATGTGAAATACTCAAAACATTCAATTTCTGCAACGGAGGTAGTATAAAAAATACTTGATGGCAATGTAGGTGGATGTCAACGGGAAGAACACGGCACCGTTATTCAAATACTTAAAAGCAGAGAAAGGAGGTTTCCTTATTGATGCAATCAAATGGAACTTCACAAAGTTCTTGGTTTCTCCTGACGGCAGAGTCTCCCAGAGATATTCTCCTAGGACCTCTCCTCTTCAATTCGAGGTATGTATACCAAGCCCCGGTTCTCTCCTAAACCGGAATCCTCACATTTTCATCACACATAACCGGCCTTTTTGGATTTGTGCAGAAAGACATTCAAACTCTGTTGGGACAGGCTTCATCTTGATCACCATCACAAGTTTCAAGAACCGTTTTATCTGAATTTTTGTTTAGTTCTTGAAATCCCACATTGTTTCAAACTCTTAATCTCTGAATCTGTGTTTTGAATAAACATGTTTTCTTTTGATTGGTGACAGGTTGTTTCATTGATGAGTTAATCATGTTTATCATGTGACTCATTATAACGCTCAAACTTTATAAAATACATGATGTCGAGTCATAAATTCTACTGGTTTAATAGTACAGTTGGATACGTAAACAGAACACGTGAAAGGATCTTGTCCACACTTTGCCCTATCGTACACGACACGTTAAGACGTGTTCACAACTTAAGACCACAAAGTTTTCTGATTCTTTCCTACAAACAGGAAAGAAAAAGATAAAGAATCACAAGCAAGGACATGTTCTTTCTTTCTTTCTTGGGCATCTTGTAATTGAAGCAAAAGTCACGAGCTTTACCATCATCTAAGTGTAATTTACCAATGACAGAAATACACGACAGATCAAGTTCATGAAGGCATACAGAAAATCACAGTTATTAGATCAGTTACCTCAGGAAAATGAGGATTTCAAACCAATTTGAGTTTTGTCTATCTAAATCTCACTCTTACGAGGACAAGAACTCTGTTTTAGATATCAGATCTCAGATGTTAAAGCCACCCTTATTGTACTCAGGCCGGTTCTGAGATTTTGAATGCTGTAGATAATTTATTTTTTTAAAAAACTTCATAAATTTTTTTAATAATTTTGAGTGTCTTAAGTTTGTGTAAATTATCTGTTAAAATTTGGGGGCCATTAGGTGATTATCCAGATGATGTAAAAGCTAGTCTTAAATTCAAAAACGCAGAGACTAATCAGGGGAATTTGTAGAGAAAAATTGAAAGTTTTATTCAGTGATACATTTATTCCATTTTTATTCATTATAACATTAGACTAAGGATATTACTACACAGATATAGGATTAAAAAGTAAAGCCAAACCAGTTTCTCCATGGACACAATGCAGGTCTATTCTCCAGCTAAAAGTGGCAGAGACTTCATTCATGCAAAGAAAAGTCTTCAGTAGATGTTTCTGGTTTTCAACCAATATGTTCAGACAAGATGATGATGATTGTTGTTCAGCTACACAATCTGACAGTGCAAGCTACAGTTTGTGCCCAGTACTTGAGTCTAGCTTTCACATCATCTGGATTATCACCTGAATCAAAGGCAAACCAGCAAAATGAAATAATTATCAGATATTGAGATCAAGAAATGGTTCTTAATAATCACATGAATCAAAATGTTCTTCACACTAACTCAAGATCTTAGAGAGATTCATTACCAGGGCTAGAGATCTTCCAGTTAGCAACTGGACTGGTCGTGGCTGGCAGCTGCGAGTCCTCTTCTACCGGCGATTTGTGGTGATTTTGTTTATCATCTAAGTACTTTTGGCTCATGGAGTAACATAGCTCTAAAGCAGGCAAAGTGCTGCAGAGCTCAGGGATCTCTTCGTAGCTAAACCCAAACCCTAGGTCTAAACATCCTTTTAGCTCCTCGAGATCGTCATCCGTCAAGCTCTTGCCTCTCATCAGATCATCTTGAGAGGCAGCAGCGTCCACGTAACCTTCCAGCAACACTTGGCTCTTCTTCTTCTCAAGCTTGTTTCTACTCTCGCCGGAGATACAACCTCCACCTCGGTTCTTGATATCGGACCAAGCTTCTTGAATTCCTCCTTGCTCCTCGTGTTCTTGAAAGACTGTGTTGGATGTTTCGTCATTTCGTTTCTCGTGGACAGAAAGTGTCCGTTGATCTGCAGATTCGAAGTGAATACAACCCATCTCTATCTCTCTCTCTCTAGTTATTTTATTGTAAGGGTTTTCTTATCGGCAACGAATGGTGAGGGCAGGTTATAAAGAGAGAAGATTGGTTTTGGTTTCTTGAAAAAGAAGCATCAATTATTGGTTGGCGAAGTAAATGGCATCTTTCTTCAAGTATGCCATCTTGTGGGCCACGTTAACGTAAACGAATCAATGATTCGATGAATGTGTGTAAGAAAGACAATGCAGTAAATACTTTTAATAAGGGAAAATCGCATAAAAAACCTTCAAAATAACATTTACTACAACTTTAAACTTTGAACTTTTTTCACTAGCACTTTAAATCTTCAAAGTGATATTTGTGTCACAAAAACCTTGAATTAGAAAATTTGACCTATTGAACAGGTAAAACAAGTTCTTTATCAATTTTTTTTCGAAAAATAAATATTTAATAAATAAAAATTTAAGAAATAATCACAAAATGAATAAAAATCAATTAAATTTTCAAAAAAATTAATGAAAATTGCAGAACATAAATAAAAATTTATAAAAATAATTTCAAATACCAAAATTTAAATAAAATTCTGAAAATTAAAAAAAATTAAAGAAAATTCACAAAATTGAAGAAAAAATAAATAAAAAATCAAAAATTAAATTACAATTTTTAAGAAAATTAAAGAAAAATTCAGAACATAAAGAAACATTTAAAAAAATTGAAAACTGTATGAACCATCATCGTCAATAGTGAAATATTTGAAATTTTTATTCTCAACTATAATATTTCAGATTTTAAAAATAAAAATCTTGTAATTTTTATGAAATTTTCCAATAAAATTGACATATCATCGTTGACAAAAAAAAATTCAAACATATTACTGTTGAAAATTGATGGTTTCAAATAGTTAAAAACATAATCTTGTAATTTTCAAAAAAACTGTTTTGAACTTTTGAGTTTTCAATTTTGTGAATCTTCTTAAAATTTTGTTTAATTTTCTGAATTTTATTTAATTTTGCGTATTTCAATTTATTTTTCTATAAGTTTTTATTTATGTTCTGAAATTTTCTTTATTTTTTTGAAAATTCAAGCGATTTTTATTTTTTTGATTATTTATTGTATATATATATATATTTATTAAATATTTATTTCTCTGCAAAAACTAATAAATAAAATAGGTAATTTATCAGGTTTTTCGTGAATAAATATTTAATAAATATTAATTTAATAAATAATGAAAAATAAATAAAAATTAAATTAATGTTCAAAAAAGTGCAATTTTGTGAATTTTCGTTAATTTTTTGTTTAACGTTTTAATTTGAAATTATTTTCTTATAAATTTTTCTTTATGTTCTGAAATTTTCTTTATTTGTTTGCAAATTTAGTTGATTGTTACTCATTTTTTTGATTATTTCTTAGTTTTTTATTTATTAAAATATTTATTTTTAGAAAAAACTTGATAAATGACTTGTTTTACATGTTTAACAAATCAGATTTTCATGTTTTTTATGCTAATGAAATAAATTCAAGATTTAAAGTGCTAATAAATATCACTTTGAATGTTTTTTATACGATTTTCCACTTTTAATTATATAAATACTGTTTGTAGGGTGCAAGTAATGAATGCATTAGTTACTTTCAATAATGATAAAAAAAAAAGTTGGAGAAGTTTTTGAAAAAAGATTTGAAGAAAGGTGTCTGATTCGAGGATACGATAAAACTATAAACTGTCAAAAAACGCAGAAAAGTTATAAGAGCAAAATCACATAGTAGTAAAACAGAGTTTCTTCTTCTAGGCGACAGGGATCATCTCAGGGTAGTCTACAGCTGTGAGGGCAGCTTCCGGTAGGAGAGCAGCCGGAGCAACAACCTGAGCAGGTGCAGAGTTAACATCTTCCTCCTTGGGAGTATGGATGATGACAACATCAGGCAATGGTGTCTTTGGTCCATTTATTCCCTTAGGGTCCCAGTCAAGCATGACCTTCACCTTGATTCCGAGCACACCCTGCACATTTAAGGTTTAATCAGAAACTAGAATTAGACAATGTTTGCCGGTTTATTTACTCAATGAAGTGGAAACCAAGAGACACTCACCTGTCTAAGCAGGACATGTCTCACAGCAGAGTCAATGTAATCCTTGGTAGGTTGACCAGAGGAAACCATGTAACCGTCCTTGAATTTCATGGACTTGGCACGTGCTGCACGGAGCTTTCCACTCACAATCACCTGATGATAGTACACATTTGAAATGAACAATGTCTGAGATTATCTTGTGGATAAAAATTAAAGACAATTATTGAACAATAGGATGTATTCTCACCTCACATCCCTTAGCACCACTCTCCATGACGAATCTCAAGACACCGTAACAAGCCCTATACAATACAACATAATTGCAACATAAACATCCTGCTTTTATTAAGAAATGGGCGCATACTATCAACTAGCAACGCTCAACATATACTAAGCAACCAGCAAAGTTCTAGCACAAAACCTTATGCACAATACAACTAAATTTAAGAGTTTGACAATAACTATATCAATGCACAAAAACTTTATCCTATCAAGAAATGTGCCTTCATCATATGTGTAACGAGCTAACAAATTCACTATCTCAATGCACTTGGATCAATCATTTAAAAGTGTCAATAGTAAAAAAAAAAACATATATACCTGCGGACAGCAAGTCCACCGAGGAGCTTGTAACGGAGAGACTCAGCCTGAGCAATGGCGCAGAGACCTCTGTTGGCAACCTTCTCAGCGTAAAGCTCAACACTGTCTTGAGGGAATCTGAATCTCTTCTGAACAAGAGATGTCAACTCCCTGATTCTCCTTCCCTTCTCACCTATAAATATCCAATAACATGAAGTCCCAAAAGCTTTGGATTCTAAAGGAAGGTTAGCTTTTTGAATACATACCGAGAACATTTTGAGTACGTGTGGCTCTGATGATAATCTCAGTCCTCATTGGAGTAACCCTAACCTCTACACCAGAGTAACCATCCTCTGCAAGCTCTCTGGTTAAAACCTCATTCAACTCAGCGTAGAATACACCGTCGGCTACAAACTACGACAAGCAAAAACAAAGTTAGTGAAAATGGTTCACAAATACGATGGAGATCGATTGGAAGGAGAAGGGGTCGAGTGAGATTCACCTTTCTCTTCTTGCTGATTTGTGTCGCCATGTTGAATTTCGCCGATTGATGAAAATGTGAAACCCTAGAAATCGGTCTGTTGAGCGGTTAAGGAACGAATAAATAGTTGGAGACTAGGGTTTTCTGAAGCTTTTGCTGGGCTTATTTACTCATAAGATTGGCCCATTATCAATTAAATTCGGCTAATTAATAAAATATAGCAATAATTTTTGTTCTTTCTTCAATAGTTCCAATCCTCTATATATCAATTATCAAAATAGAAAAATTTCACATTAATTGATCATACTATTGTTCACCATGTGACAGTCTTATTAGTCGTTTAAAATTAAAAGTTCCTTTAGCCAAATTGAAAGTTTCTTAGCCAAAATAGCACTGCTACGTTTAAAAAGTTTCTTAGCCAAATTTTACATAAAGTGTTTATATTATATATTATGTTACACTTTTATCAATATAAAACTCGCATGCATGATTCGATGAGTTACACAAATGTTCCACATAGAAATATAATTTTCATAAATTTTCTTAATGTCTACACCTATATTATTTTATTTTAATTTTATTTTAAGAATTTGATCTTTTCATATGTTATTTTAAATTGACGTAGACACCTATATAACTAAATATTCACTATAAGTGAAGATTTTAATTATCTTGGAAGTTGGAATATTTCTTTTTTTTTTAATGCTTCATTTCACAATTGACCAAATTGCAATGAAATTATTTGTCTTAATAATTTTATTTTATTTTTCTTCAACTATTATCTAAATTTGATTTTATTTTTATGCATTTAGAAATTATAATATGAAATCATTGGTTCGACATTATGACTATCTAAATTTCATATAACATGAAGCCAACCAAATATTATCACCAGAAAAAAGCATTTGACCGAACGTACCAAAATAAATATGGATTTAGAATGGTAGTTATATTTTAGTAAATTAAAAACAACCTAAAACCGAAATGATATCTAAATTAAACAGACCTAATGTATTCTTATCTTAAAGAAAAAAAATTAATAATCTCGTCCCGCACAAGACGCAAGTTATTACCTAGTTAAGTACGGAATGAGAAGGAAGCAACCTTGCAAATTACAAGCCTGGTCTCAAAAGTTTCAATAGCATTTAGAGCTAAAGGTTTGTATTGCATAGCATGGGCTTCCCAATAAGATAAGCTTAGCATCAGAATCATATTGAAATACATATAAGATTGCTCTAAAAGTCAATGATTGAAAGGATGCAAATGGTTTCATAAGACAAAAGATTATGGAGAGAAAAAAGACTGATACATTGGAAACTTGATGTTTCATGTTCTTCAAGGGGGTTCCTACAGTTCCTCTGCTCCACCTCTAAATCACATTACGATTTGTGCTCACCTAAGAAATGTTATTGTGGATCTTCGTTCATTGGAGAGTTTAGGTTGTGATGCGACCCTGATCAGCTATGCAACCTTGGACGAGCTAAGACCAGCTGATGACACTGAGGACAAGCTTAAACCAGCTGAAGTGAGTGTAGATGAGCTGAATGAGTTGGATGAGCTGAATACACTAGTGAACTGTACTGACACTACCCTAGAGGAGCTTAGCTGGACTGACACTCACCTGGACGAGCTGAGCAAGCTGGTACGATCTTCTGAGCTGGTTCGACCACCCGAGAAGTTGGAAATGGCTAACCTTATTTTTGATGGGTGATATACCATGGTTTTACTCACTATTAGCCATAGTATTGATATGTTTTTATAATATATATATATATATATATATATATATATATATATGTTTTGGAGTCTATTAGGTATGTTTTCATGTTCATGAGCATTTGGAGTAAAGTGATGATTTAGGTGCCCTTATGGAGCTTAAAGGAGAGTTTTCCGAGATGACTATGAAAATCAGACAACAAGGTCAATATCCAGAGATACATATCGATAGATACACATCATGTGTAATCGATCGATGACGCTTCCATAGAAGATGAAGTCGACATACTCCATCGATCGATGTACACCATGTACCCTCGATCGATATCAAGCGCGAAGAACAAGTTTTACTTGGCCGACTTGAAGCCCAAGTTTTCCCAATATTACAAGATTGCCCCTGACGAGTTTTTAAACTAATTGAACTCATATTTATAGTTTTTCCTATGTGTTTTGGCAAATCATGCTTTTTATGCTTTTGAATGTTTTCTTGTGCTTTGTATGCTTTTTGATACTATTTTATACTTAGAAATAAAGTATTCTTTTCATCTTAATTCTCAAAGGTTATAGAATTCTAGATTTAGAAGAAACACACAAAGAGATTTGTTGTTCCAAAGAACCAAGAGTTCAATCTTCTAATCTTATGAATTTCTATGAATTATTACCTTGGTGCTATGAATCACTTAGCCATGTCTGAGTAGATTCACTTGTTAGATTTAGGGTTCAAATAGTTATGAGGGATTAGCCTCAACTATGGAATGTTAAGTTGTGATATTCATTATCCAGATGAACCCTAATTCTTACTCTAGAGTAGCTAACTAGAGTATGATCATGGAGTGATTTAACTTGTTAATCATTATCCTGAAATCATTTGGCATAAGCTTAGATCCTCTAGGGATGTGCGAGAGCCAGTCTATGATCTTGGTGAACACATTTTTGATTCGATCTAATGCTATATCGATCGATACTCCTATAGAGTAATCGATCGACGGCAACCCATATCGTCTGAAATCGCTGTCAAAACATCAGTCTATATTGCCGGCAATTAGATCAATGGACAAGTCTATATAGCGACTGCTATTAGATCTGTCTAAGAATCGAAGTTCTTATATAGCTTGCAAGCAACTTACTAAAACATCTGTAGCATTATAATCCTGATTATCTGAATAGCAACCTTGAATCTAACTACTTTCTTTTATTGTTCAAAACCTAAACCTATTTTCTTGAGCAACTTATCATTGCTCACAACTGCAATTTACTATTTTAAACTAAATCAACCTAGCATAATCACTTAGAATTACATCTTTTCTGTTCCTCAGTTCCATTCGGATTCGATCCCTAAGTACTACAACTAAACCTCTTATTTGAGAGAGTAATTCACTCCTTAGGGTTAAATATTTGAGTGATATCAAATTAGGCGCCGTTGCCGGGGAACTTTGATAGCCATTAGATTTAATCTGATTAGGTCTAGGTTATTTTTCTTTTATTGCTTAATTATCTTCTGACACAAAATTTTTTTTCTTCTCTTTTTCAGGTACATGCCCAGTAGTACTAGAAGCAACAAGAACAAACAACTTGTGTACTCAGAAGACCCTCACAGCTTGGAACGTAGCATCCGCAAAGACTTACGTTCTGCATCGATCGACAATAACACCTATTTGTCGACCGATACTCGCTTACCACAATCGACCGAGACACCTTCTTCGTCGATCGATACTCTCACCTTCACATCGAACGACATCAACAACCGTTCGTCGACCGATACCTTTCATCCGACATCGATCGATATACCTCACCTTACATCGATCGATACTAACCAGCGAGACATGGTAGCGCCTATTATTCTCACTACCGATGAGAATGGAGACCTGCGTGATCAAGATGGTCATCTGCGTAATGCAGCAGGTCAGAAGCTGAACGCTTAGAAGGAGATCATTCCTGAGCAAGAAACTGCACCTACAAACATCATTCAACCTGTAGAAGAGGATAACCAAGCTAGAACTTTGGCTGACTACAACCGTCCGGATCAGTTCTATTCCAACCGATCAGCCATCCGTCCTCCTGCTATTCAGAGAGGAGATTTCGAGCTTAAGCCGCAGTACTACACACTTGTAGGACAAATACCCTTCTGTGGGTTGTCCCATGAGCATCCTATGGACCATCTGGAGAGGTTCGAGGATCTCATAACCATCATAAAAGCCAATGGAGTACCTCAAGACTATCTTCTCTGCAAGCTTTTCAAATAGTCTCTATCTGGAGCTTTGCAGTGGCTGAGAAAACTACCACCAGGTTCTCTCACAACCTGGAGCGACATCAAAAACGCATTCCTGCGTAACTTCTTTGATGAATCGCGCTGAAGAGTGGAGAAGAAAGATTGCTACATTCACTCAGAATCCTGAAGAGCCATTGAAAGATTTATGAAACAGATTCAAATCCTACCAACGAGATTGTCCACACCACGGATTTAACAAAGTGCAACTGCTTTGCACTTTCTACAAAGGCATCACCTTGGATTATCAAAGGGCTCTTGATACAGCTAGTGACGGCAACTTCAACACCAGGAATCCACAAGAGGCTGTAAAGTTAATTGATAACTTAGCTTCAAGCAACAGCACAAAGAACTTTGTGAAGACAAAAGCTACATCATTCCTTGGGAAGGAATACATCAATGAAGTGCAAGCACAGCTGGATACCTTTCGGAATTTACTAAACAAGCAGATTTGCTCAGGGGAGGATGCAGACACTGCAGGTGAAGAATACACAGAAGAAGATGTGAGCTGGATAAGTGGAGCTGGTTTTCAGAGATCTGGTAACCAAAGAGGATACAAAAACTTCACAGGGCAGAGAAGCAACTTCAACCAGAGTTCACAAAAGCCTAACAATTCAGCAGCAGCAACCCCTAACAACAACATGAGCTATGGGAACTCATTCTACTCAAACCCACACCCACCCACCCAAGACAGTAAACTGGAGGAGATGCTAGACAAGGTTCTTGAGAGTCAGCAGAAACTCCAGACAGACTTCAATGGAAAGATTGACTCTGTTTACAACACCCTCACCACAAAGCTAGATGCTTTAAACACCCATGTGAAGAAGCTAGAGACATGTGTTTCAGACAGGAGAAGCACTAAAGAAGCATGAGTTTGCTAACAACCATAACATCAATGCCATCCTGGATGATGACTTTTGGCAAGAGGTACTAGAAGAGATTCAAAGATCTGATGATGAGAGAGACTTCGTACTTGACTATTATCGATCGATTTCATCCCGTGATCATCGATCGATACAATCCAGTGTACATTGATCGATAGAATTTGATGAGTGTTGATCGATGAACT